TAGGGTTAGGTTTAGGGTTAGGTTAAGGGTTAGGCTTAGGGTTAGGTTTAGGGTTAGGTTTGGGGTGGTTAGGTTTAGATTTATGCATTAATTTTAAGTTTACCGCTCACAGTGTGCTGTTTTCGTCGCGCTGTGATGACATCACGTACGTGCTTTCGTCGAGTGCGCTTTAGTCTACCGCGGTTTTGTGGTGGAACCCCAAGGGGTGCAGCGGCCTGCAGCTGAGGGAGGCTGCCTGGGGGAGAAATGGGTGGGTCTGGGGCTGCCCCTTGGAGGGCAGTAGGGGGGGGAGTCCTGCTTGAGGCCTGGAGAAGCTCCCTTGGGGGAGGGGGATTGACCAGCCCTGCCTGCCCTCTCCTTTCAGATGTGGCTGTGCAGCCCACTTCCTAGCAGGGGACTCGGCCGGACGCCCTGACCACGCGGCACTTTAGCGCCTGTCCTGCCCCTCAGCCCCATGAGGCACCTCAGTGCTGAGCCTGGACTTCCCCGCGAGCAGAGCACAGGCCTGAGCCAGGAGCAGCAGCAGGAAGATGAGGAGGAGGAGGAGGAGGAAGAGAAGCAGCAGCAGCAGCCCTGGAAGCATCATGGCCTCCAGATGGGCTGCAGTCCGCCAGAGCTGGGCAGCCAGAAGGTCTACCAGGTCTCCATCTTCTCTCCCCGGGGCAGCGGCTCTGCCCTCCCGCAGCAGAGGGGGCCCCGACGGCAGCCCATCAAACGGTCCTGCCCGGAGCCCCGGTGGGTGGCCGAGGGTGGCGAGTGGGATGCCAAGAGGGGCCTCTGGGGGAGGGAGGAGGAGGAGGAGGAAGCGGCCATTGAGGACGGGCTGTTGGTGGACGGGCTGGCCCTCGGGGGCGCCGCCCAGCACTTCTCCCACAGCGGCCTGCGAGTCGTAGAGCACCGGCAGGAGGTCAGTCCCGGCCAGCGCGGAGGCCGGGAGCCCAGAGCTGCTGAGGGCCGGGGGGCGGCCCTGCCGGCGCCTGGCAGGCTTTGCGCCACTTTGCACACGAGAGACTCGCCCCCCGTCTTGTGGGGGGAGCAGCCCGCCATGGACTCCAGGCCAGAGGAGAACGGGGGGCCCCGTTCCCCCCACGATCACGATTTGCACAGCCCTGCACCCCCGTCCCCCCCGCCAGGGCAGCCGCTCCAGGAGACCCAGGCGCCCAACACTCCACCGGAGGCCCCCAGCCACAGCGCCAACGGGCTCTGCTCGGCCGAGAAGACGCCCTGCTCCAGCGGCCAGCTCTCGGGAGGCGGCCCTGCCAGCTGCCCGGCCAAGAGGAAGCTGCTGCCCTCGGTTGAAGGGAGGGCAGCCGCCGGCCTGGAGGAAGAGAGCCTTCTACCAGCACGCAAAAAGAGGGCCCTGCATTCTCCCACCGTGCCAGCCTCCTGCCGCAGCACTGATGCCAAGGGCGCCCCCTTCTGGAACCACCTGCTTCCCGCAGCCAAGGTGAGGAACTGGGGCCGGAAAGGGCCCACGGTAGGTCTGTCCCCCAAAGAGGACTGGGGGTGAGGAGCTTTGGGTCCAGGCAGAGAACTGCCTTTCTGGGGTGCCATCTTGCTGGCAGAGCCCTGAGCTCTCCGGCACCCCATGTGGTCCTGCAGAGGAGCCTCACTGAGGGCTGAAAAGGGCCGTCTCTCTCCTGCCACCCAGCAGCTGTAAACGGCAGAGGCCCATGGGCTTTCCCAGCCTGCTAGATCAGTGGTCCCCAACCTTTCCGGCTTGGAAGAACCAGCGGTTCTTGTGGGGAGAGGGGAGAGTTCCATGCAAGGGGCAAGCCCCCACCCCCCACCGTGAGCAGGCACCTCCTCCAATGGTGGGTGCAGGCGTGTTCTTTGCACAAACAGGGCTGCATATGGGAGGACTCATGTGCTAGATATCTCCTATCCTGGAAGGGAAGGCTCCCCCCCTCCACTCCAGCTCCATCGCACCCTGTGCCTCCTGCCCCTCTGCGTGGGGTGAATCCCTGGGTTCTCTCAGACGTTCCGTTTCCCCTGAGATGCAGGAGGAGGCCCGGCCTTCTGTTTCCATATCTACTGCATTTCTACCCCACTGCAATCTAAAAGAGCCGAGGTGGCACAGTGGTTAAATGCAGCATTGCAGGCCACTTCAGCTGACTGCTATCTGCAGTTCGGCGGTTCAATCTCACCGGCTCAGGGTTGACTCAGCCTTCCATCCTTCCGAGGTGGGTAAAATGAGGACCCGGATTGTTGTTGGGGGCGATATGC